AGTTTCTCCTGCTGCTGAAAAGATATCTTTATTTTCTGTTTGGGTCCGATTTTTCAGCCCGTTCAGTTTTCTCTGGTTTCTATGATGTCCTGATGCATCTCTTTTCTTTTTTTTTTAGTTTCTATGATGTTTTCTGCAGTGTTATGTCAAATTATCTGCAACAAAATTACTAGTGGTTTTTACAAAGATTCAGAATCGATTTAAAATGTCCCAAAAAATCGATTTAAAAAAAATGCAAAGATTTGGGCTGATTTTGGTTTTTACTGAATGAGTCTGAGTTTGACACGAGCTTCACTGTGTGCACGGTTTGCAAAATGAAGATGAAGCACTTTGGGAACACGACAAATGGGCTCACTTTATCAGTTTTAAATGAAAAATAGATTTTTAATCCTGGCCCCAAAAATCAGAATCAWATCAAATCATGAGATGGTAAACGTTTCCCACTCCTAGAAATGACCGTATTAGGTCTGAAATTAACAACTACAATTTCCTTGTCTTAATTCTCCTCTGGTTCTGGGTCAGACTCTGGTTCTGGGTCAGACTCTGGTTCTGGGTCAGACTCTGGATGGACAGGTCTTCTGATGCTGACATCTTTTAATTAAATTGTTTCTGCAAGCTAGAAAATGTAACCCTCCTCTCTCAAACCGGAGTGGATCGGTCTGGAAGCCAGAGGGGGGCGGGGCTTGAAGCATCTTAAAGGAACAGTAACAGCTGCTTTGTGACACACATTAGAAAAGACCCTCAGGGTTTAAATAAGAAGGAATTCAGACAAAACCTTTGTAGTTCCWTTTTATAAAGACCYAAATRAATGATTTAAATGTAAAAAGAAAGGAAAAAGCAGAATATGTCTACTTTAAAWCAACTTCAATCATAGTTTGTGTAGCAGAAATACAGAAGTGCAGCAAAAGTAAATATTAAACWTTTTGGAGATGAAAGATACACAAACAGAAAGTAGCACAAAGCTGAAGTGCTTAAAAGTTGAGTTTTTGAGTTTCAGTTCAGCCAGCTGATTCCTGAAATAGATGAGATCAACCTTAGTGGGTTAATTTTTAAAAAAAATCTCTTCATCCTCACTTTATTCATACAGCACATTCAAAAACAACAAACATGATACAATTAAAACTGTAAACGAACTAAAAACTTCGCTTCAGTTCTGCCTTTGGCTGCAGTAAAATCATCTGATTAGAGGATCTCAGTTCTGTTTGGTGAATAAAAGTGAAACAGAGTCAATAAATAACTGGGTGCCAAAACTTTTAAAGCTTTAAAAGAATCTGAAAATCAATGCGAGAGCAAACGTGTGTGTGTGTGTGTGTGTGTGTGTCTTCAATGGTGTTCAGGTTGATGCTGCAGACCCTGACCCTGCTCAGACCCTGACCCTGCTCAGACCCTGACCCTGCTCAGACCCTGACCCTGCTCAGACCCGGTTTCTCTCGTTTCCTTCCTGCAGAAGTTCCTGTCTGTGGGTGAGTCCAAGTCCGCCCGCTGTGACGTCGTGAACCGTCTGAAGGAGAGAAAATGTGACCCGTCTAAAATAGAGAACCCACGTGGACGTGTYGTTATTAATGAAGACAAACCAGTCACTGGTAAAAAACCTGCTGACAAAATCATCCAGATCCAGCCTCAGAAGCTCACCCTGAATCTCAGAAATGGTAAAAGTTTGGTTTCTAATCACAGAAACAGTTTTCTGTACAATAAATATCTAATAAAAGTCTTSTGTCTTTCAGGTGAGCCGCAGACCTTTGACCTGAAGTTCAAGCGTGCCGAGGACTACCCCATCGATCTGTACTACCTCATGGACCTCTCCTACTCCATGAAAGACGACTTGGAAAACGTCAAGAACCTCGGCACTGATCTCATGAGGGAAATGAAGAAGATCACCTCAAACTTCCACATTGGTGAGTAGAAAATAAAACTGGACTCTGAAGACCCTGAAGCCTGACGTGGTCTCAGTGAAGKTCCCCCTGCCCGGCAGGTTTCGGCTCCTTCGTGGAGAAGACGGTCATGCCGTACATCAGCACCACGCCGGCCAAGCTGATCAACCCCTGCTCGAGCAACCAGAACTGCACCAGCCCCTTCAGCTACAAGAACGTCCTGAAACTGACCGACAAAGGAGACGAGTTCAACAATCTGGTCAGTCAGCAGCAGATCTCAGGAAACCTTGACTCTCCTGAGGGCGGGTTCGACGCCATCATGCAGGTGGCGGTGTGTGAGGTGAGCCGGGTTTATCCCACTGATCCGTCATRAATCCAGGCTTTSGTATGCTTGTTTGTCTTTGTGTKTATGGTGTAAAATGATGTGATTGTGATGCTGTAATTCTGAGTGTTTTATGTGCTGCAGAACAGGAACCTGCTGTAAAACAGCAATTATGCTGAGTCAGGCTTGATTTTTAATAATCTTTTCCTGTTAAATAAATAAATCAAATCAATCCTGCAGATCCTTAAAAAGTCTTAAAAGGCCTTGAATTCATCCATCCAAAAATAAGGCCTTAATTAGCCTTAAAATGTCTTAAATCAATCTTACAGAAGTCTTAAAAATGTTAACATATTGAATGTAGGATGATTGTAATTCATATCAAATATTAAAATAATTGGTAACATTTATTTATTTTTGAAATATTCACATTTAGTCATTCCCTTTTGACATCACTTCCTGTTATTTCACATGTAAATATCTCAACAACCGTCCATCTGAGCAATGTGACATTTGTTTTCTAATATGTTAATAATGWTGTCTTTCCAAAAATACCTTCATATTTCGTACAAACATTTTACATAACAGGTACTTTAAGGTTTCATCTACAGCAAGCTGGGGTTGAGAACCCACTTTGGGTCCTAAAACTACAAATCTTGGGCTGTTTGAGGATTTCCAGGAATTAAAWTAAGTTTAAAACTGACTGCTAAGAATGTTTTTTTGCTATATTTGACAAAATAGCAGTTAGATATGGATAAAAACAACTGGTTTATTAGGAATATTTGAATACTTTAACCAAAAATACTTTGATTTATGAGTTTCTGCCACAGTTTTAATTTTTTGTAATTTGTGTTAATTGTGAAATTGGTCAAATTTAATTTCCCTTTGCATTAAAAGTCTTAAATTTAACTTGCCTTAAACAGTAGGAACCCTGTAATCAAGTATCTAAAGGAGTTCCTCGTTTTAACCCCAGGAGCAAATCGGCTGGAGGGACGTGACTCGTCTGCTCGTGTTTTCCACCGACGCTGGTTTTCACTTCGCCGGCGACGGCAAGCTGGGAGGCATCGTCCTGCCCAACGACGGGAAGTGCCACCTGGAGAACAACATGTACACAATGAGCCACTACTATGTGAGCAGCTTTATTCAACCTGAGTCATGAGTCGTACATTAAATTAATTTACTGTCAGAATTAAAGAAGAGCAGTGAGAGTTTGATCAACATGTTTTATTTTGTTTGCAGGATTACCCCTCCATCGCTCATCTGGTCCAGAAACTGAGTGAACACAACATCCAGACCATCTTCGCTGTAACTGAGGAGTTCCAGCCTGTTTACCAGGTGAACATCTCGTACGGTCAACATGACACAAATCAAAACTAAAAACATAAAGATCAGTTCTATTTAAAGAGGCAGTRTTATGTGTTTCTCAGGCATATATTTAAGTTCTATACCATAATAAAGTAACTGTAGCTGTGTTTCCATTGCAAATGTGCGCTAAACTTTGTCGATATTCTGTTAATGCAGTGTTCCCGCTGGTCCTTGAAATCCTTGAAAGTTTGTGAATTTGAAAAAAATGATTTCAAGGCCCTGGAAAGTTTGTGAAAACAGCCAAAAATTACAGTTGTCCTTGAAAATCCTTGAATGTTTTTTTGGGATTGAAGTTCTCTATTCAAACAACTGATTTTCATCATCTGTAAAAAAAAAAAAAAAGAAAAAAATTTTTGTTGCGGTAGATAACTCAGGATTACTGTAAGCTGACGTGGTTTTCAACAAATAACGTGAGTCATAGTCATAGTTTTACCCAATCAGAGCAGAGTAGGGCGGGTCTAGCACCGCAGCTGCTCCTGTCTGGATGTGTTCACATCCCCTCCTCCCAAACTGAGCTGCAGAACCTCCCAGGATATAATTACACGTCCATGTATTGTAGATATGAATGTAGGGTAAACATTTAATCCACTTTCTTTTATTGATCCCCAGTTTTCCATTGAATTTACATGATATTAAAGCTGTTTATTGGTAACAATCTGTGCTAGCAGTAGGTAATTGCGGTCGCGCGTGGTTCTTGAATTTGAGAAAATTGGTACTGGAAAGTCCTTGAAAGGCCCTTGAATTTGATGTTGACCAAGGTGTGGGAACCCTGTATTTCTTACAGGAGCTGAAAAATCTGATCCCCAAGTCGGCCGTTGGCACGCTGTCCTCCAACTCCAGCAACGTGATCAATCTCATCATCGACGCCTACAACGTAAGAAAACACGTCCTTTAGAAACCATCGAGAGCTCCAAGGAAAAAAAACAATTCTTCCAGACTGTTTGAGCATCAGACTGTTTGAGCATCAGACTGTTTGAGCATCAGACTGTTTGAGCATCAGACTGTTTGAGCATCAGACTGTT